TCAGATGTCATTTCAATTTGTTAGATCTTTGTGTAATTTAATTATGGAATTAAAAAATTAAATTGTTTCTGCTTGGGGGTCAAATGAAAAAAGCCCCACCAACAACTGAAATAGTTTTTATTCCAAAGCGCAAAAAAATCTTATAAATGTTTATTACGCAGCATAAAGCATAAATTATTAAAATATGTTTTTTTCAGTATTAATTCCTATTTGTTTTTGCATTTTTTTCCTTTTATTCTTTTTAAACCCTTGTGAAAATTACAACAATTAAAAAAAAAAACAAAATAGGAGAGAAAAACAAAACACATAAAAAGTTGCACAATTTAATTGTTGACCTTACCACAAAAGACTTAAATAAAATTAAAGAAAAAAATCATAAAAAATAATAAAGCAAATACTCGTACCCACATATACGAAAATTCACATCCATTCACGATATTTAGGTTGGTCGGTGGCGGAGTTGGTGCAAGTTGAACAGGTGCGCCATGGTTATTTGAATAAGGGAATCTTCTGCATACTTCGGTGAGGGGTATGGAAGCGAATAAAGTAATATCTACTTAAATCTCCATGAGCTTGTGTGATAGACATTTGGATGAATGATTGTATTCCGTACTGAATGTGCTTTTGGCCGATACAAATCTGTGGTCAAAAACTACCGTTAACAACACACGACGATAAATTTCTAAGTACAACTTTGTCTCAGGGTTTTGACTTTTTTAAAATTTTGACGGCCTATGTGATTGAAAACAAATTGCCTTCTTTTTATACACTTTACCAATGGTTCCATTGTGTTATAAAATGTGGCTAAATCTGAAGTCTTTTTGAAATTGTCATCGCTCAATTTGATTTTCACGTAGGGGATGACCCCTACTTATGCAGTGCATTGTGTTGTGTTGGAACTAGGAAAATTGGTAGGAATATATGGAGTAATGTTTGTGGACATTTATGATTTACATTTTTTACTTCGAAAATGTCAGAGAATACATACGTGAATTTTCCCTATAATGTAATGTTTGGTCTACAGGCCATTCGATCTTGTCGTGTTCTTGTTACATAAAAATATAAGGGTATTGATAACGAGATCCCTAATTTCTGAGGTACTCATTACATTGTAATATCGATAAAACAATGAAATACATCCCACTTTGCAAAGGTGCTCAAATGAATCAATAGAGTTGGTTATCTACTGTCACCAATAAGTATCATTGACCTCTCATGAAGGCTGTAGATACTCTAGCCCAAACATGAATGCCTCTTTCGACACTTTAGTTTATCGAATATCATTCTCAGAACAACAAAATTTTCTGATTCTTTAAAATCAATTCATGTTAGGCTACAATCTCAAATAGTCTTGGCCTACAACTGAATATATTGGAATGCCAGATATTGCTGTCACGGGCATAAGAGTAGAGAAGTTTGACAGTTCGTGTAAGAAAGTAAGATATAAAGCAGCAGAATTAACAGTGTCTTGCTTAATCTTAAACTCGTTTGATTAGATAAATCGAGAAAAATTATTTTCGACACCAATACAATTTTTTTTGTTATAAGTTCATCATCCCGCACTCCATCGAACGTCTTGGAAATATCTAGAGCCACCACATTACTCCACTCGTCTCCTGTGCAACCTCTATACTTTAAATACTTGACAAGATGGAAGTTAACCATACTTTCCATAACTCTAGGAAGTGTAATTAGGCGAAAATTTTCAGCGTTATTAACCTCTAGCTTTTTAATAATTGATATTAATAATAATGTTTTCAACCATTTCCCCATTTCATAGGCATTATTGCCTAGAAAACAATCTTTCCAATTGAAACGTTGTGAAGTTCAGGGAGCGAAAAGAGGCGGTGATGTTGCAGTTACCCAAATTTCCGAGAAGTTATACGAATTTCCGAGAAGTTTCACATACGATTTCTTTCACATCGATTTCAGTAGCTTCCCGCTACTGAATATTTTATCACACCTTGAAAGGTATGTAGAAGTTGGAGGGATATTGAATAAATTCTGATCCATCTTAACAATTTCACTTGTCCCTTGTGTGTCCCTCCCGGTGCATGTTTCCTTGATGATAGGCCTCATCTTGGTGTATTGCAATCCCGGGGTAAAGAGGTGCTACATTTACCTCTAGTCTGCCGGGACTATAAACTTATGATGACAATTCACTCCTCGGTCTTTCCTTGGAATGATTTGACATGGGATAGAACCAAAGAACCACATAATCTGGTACTACGGGTGGGCAGTTGCGTTGGTTGAGGTTCCTTCGGTATCCACGTAGTGTCTGTGGTTTAAACCCAATTCGCGGGAAGAGAAAGTGGCGGTTAAAGGACTGATGCACGGTGAAATCTATAATTCGGGATAAGTTCAGTGCTGTTGCTGAATGACAATAAATATCAATCAGAGGAGTGACTGTGGGGCTTAGCGTTGGAAACGAGTTGGTGTTAAGTGTATATGATACAGGATGGATGTAGGGCAGGCGCGGATCCACGGGGGGAAGGGGAATTCAAAACCAACAACTTGAGTCTGTCAAATGTTGTTCTCTTATGAGTGTGTCGGATGAATGAGAAGTGCTGAGGATAGAATGGTGATGAATGAAAGATATCTTATACGTGTAATACCATTGAATTTTCCTGCATTGTCCAGGTATGTTCAATGAAAACTGTGTTCATAAGAGATTTACCACAGTGTGCTCTCTCTGTCCTCGGCTTATTTGATGGATTCGTACTTCGGTCTACCGGTTACGTCTCTGTGTTGTTGCCGATTCAACAGAGGCCATCCCATCAGCGTGATTGTAAACGGAAGTGATGTTTTTGCATCTCGGAAGTTAAGCAGCGGGGCAGCAATGGTCAGAGATTACATAGCTCAAGTACTTGAGCAAAGTGCTTGTACATGGACCGGCACAGCCATGTACAAAAATTGCCACCAGCGTTTAAGAAACACAAAGGGGCGGTGGTGAGTCGTCCCAGAAGCTCACCCAGTGGTTGAAAATGATCACTGTGAAATAGGCCAACACGGCAGGGGTTCACGTAAAGCACTTCGACATTAATTTGTCCCTTGTGTGGTACGTTCGATCGATGGTTTCAATTGCTTATTCCAAGTTTGCAGACCTTCACAACTGTAGTATTCAATATATCTCATATTTCCCTATGTGACAGGTGCTTGTGTTTGTGCTTTTCGATGATAGGTCAAGAAGTTATCGATAATGGGAAAAACGGTGTTAATACTCAGAACACCACTTTATGGTTATATGAATCGCAATGCAGTTACTACACTCCTGGAAAACTTTAAAATAATCCTTCTTATTATAATACACACATATCTCAAACTTATTGCACCTTCTTCTAATTTCTTAGGGCCCCTTTTTATTGTTAATTCAAAGCGATTCTGCGAAAAAGTTTTTTCTAAATGTAAAATATTTGTTTAAATTGTTTCTCTAATTTTCCATAAAAATAAACAACAAAAACATTAGTTTTCTATGCAAACAACATGCAACAATGCATTGCAAACAACAATTCATAATGTTGTTGTTTCACCTAAAGCTTAAAAAGGGTACTTTAATAAGATGTGTTACTTGCAATTGGTCCTTTTAATTTAATACAATGAGCTATTTCTTAAAATTTACACAAATTGTATACAAATCAAATTATGTATAAAGAAGTCATTACTAAACAACATCTAAGTAATGCAGACAGCAAGCATAAAGTTCTCTTTTTTATCAAAATCTCTATAAGAAGCTAAATAATATTGCCACCTCCTGCTGCAACTACACTTTCAGGAACTATTCTACGATTCTAAAGTGGTAACATGATTGCATGAATTTTGATGTTTAGCACATCATCATCGTCAACATTCACTCACTCATTCATCCATCCCATGTATGTATATGTACATCACAAAAAGGGGTTAAAAACCCATGCATGAAATTTTTTCTTTCAAGTTTTTTGTTTTTCTCTAAACATTCCTAATTGACTCACTCACTCTCTCGTATAATGTTATGACACAATAATGCATGTGGGAAATTTATGTAGATTTTTTTTCGTTTTTCATTTTCCCCCACAAATAATTCTTAAGAAAAATGCAAAAGAAATAAAATTCTTGCTTTAACAATTAAAAAATGTATCAAATGCACATTTTGTTCATAATGTCTGAAAAAAATGTTAAAATATTTGTAAAGAATAAAAGTTAACGACTAAAGGAAAATTTTGAATAATTAAGTATTATGGCAGGTGTGGACTTAGTTTTAGATTTGGAATAAATTGTTATTGTACCATTTAATACCAAATTTATATCAATACCGTCATCTAAATCAAGATAATTTCGGATTCCCTGTTTGAAAGTCGAGCATATCACAGAGAGATTGAAGCAGAAAGTAGTTGGGACGAGGAAAAACTTGGTCTTTTTTCTAATTAGTTTTTAGCTGATATTGCAACGTCTGGACACAATCGGTAAATTTTTTTTAATTAATCAGTTTTAATAGAGGAGGTATGTTGTTGTTGTTGTAACAGTTCGACTGTGGCCGACAGTTCTTTCCTGGGAAAAAAAACTTTCGGTTGATACAGCTGTCGCTGGATTGACAATCTTTTGCCGAGTATGTTTCGCGTCGTTCCGGAGCGAAGGTCCAATTGTCGTGGGAATGAGAGGAGGTATGTAAAATAGGCCGGTTTTAGAAGAACTTTCTGCTCCTTTATCTAATCTTCCAGAGGCATACGTTTACTTTGTTGAAACGTTTATAATTCTATAGCGATAATTTGAAGACAAGATCGCTATAAAAATACCATATAGTTTTCGGCTAGATCTTACTATGTAAGTGTACATTTGTAATATTTAACTTTCCATTTTGGAACTTACTAATTGATTGCTTTTCCACCTTGACAACACTGTGAACTTTTTAAAACTTTATTTCACACATCATACAGTATTAATTTATTATAAAAAAATAATATAAAAGAAAACATAAATTGTTCACTAATTACAAGTATAATTTTTTTCTTCTTATTTTCCAGATGAGTGGTAAACGCACACGCAGCTTTAAATGTGCAGTTCATCATCGCGATCGTGAAGTTTGTTCTGAGAATGATTTTCATTTGGTTTTAGAAGAGCCGCCCTTCTTTAAAAAAATGGTTCATGTCATTGCAATGGAAATACTGCCCGAAGAGCGTGATCGCAAATATTATGCAGATCGTTACTCATGCTGTCCGCCGCCATGGTTTATAATCTTTATTACTATTATTGAGGTAAGATTTTATATAAATAATTTTCGACAATAGAAGCAGTAAATCATTTTTGTTGTCAATCAATAATATTCTATCTCTTCATTAAAATTTTTGATGATCTAAACAATTCACTCCCTAAATTCTATCATATTTATTCAAATGAAATTGAATACAAAATTATTTATTATGCTTTATGTTTGTCAATAGAAATTCCCAAAAAAAAAATGTGTTTTTTCTATGAAATTTATTAGTTTATTAATATAATAAACTGCATATTTAATGGTAGCAATAAAAAAAGAAACAATCTAATTCATATTCGTAAAATATGACATTGAATACATATTTTATGCAAAATTGTAAACAATAGGCAGACATCAATATCACCATCACAATAACACGTAGCTACAATTATACAGTTACGAGCAAAACTAATATTATTGGAAAATTTTTAAAAAGCGATAGCATGTCTGACAAAAATTATTATTGACTTGGATCTCGAATATATCTGGCGTCTTCAGGAGCTTGATTTCTACAAACATATGGACATAGTTAAATGGATATCACTATCTATAAGTTTTCAGAAAATATGTTATTTATGGGGTCACAAAATTAAACTGTAGAAATTATTAGAAATTAGTCTATAGTCTAGTGTATAGTCTATTCTATAGTCTAGTCTATAGTCTAGTCTATAGTCTAGTCTATAGTCTAGTCTATAGTCTAGTCTATAGACTAGTCTATAGTCTAGTCTATAGACTAGTCTATAGTCTAGTCTAGTCAAGTCTATAGTCTAGTCTATAGTCTAGTCTATAGTCTAGTCTATAGTCTAGTCTATAGTCTAGTCTATAGTCTAGTCTATAGTCTAGTCTATAGTCTAGTCTATAGTCTAGTCTATAGTCTAGTCTTTAGTCTAGTCTATAGTCTAGTCTATAGTCTAGTCTATAGTCTAGTCTATAGTCTAGTCTATAGTCTAGTCTATAGTCTAGTCTATAGTCTAGTCTATAGTCTAGTCTATGGTCTAGTCTATAGTCTAGTCTATAGTCTAGTCTATAGTCTAGTCTATAGCCTAGTCTATAGTCTAGTCTATAGTCTAGTCTATAGTCTAGTCTATAGTCTAGTATATAGTCTAGTCTATAGTCTAGTCTATAGTCTAGTCTATAGGCTAGTCTATAGTCTAGTCTACAGTCTAGTCTAGTCTATAGTCTGGTATATATTCTGGTCTATAGTCTGGTCTATAGTCTAATCTATAGATCTACTTTTTATTCTGGCCTACAGTCTAGTCTACTTTCTAAAGTCTAGTCTATAGTCTCGACTATAGTCTAGTATATATTCCAGTCCAGTCTAAATTCTGGACTATTTTCTAGTCTACCGTTTAGTTTAATCGAGTGTATAATTTAGTTTGTAGTGTATGTAGTTCTAAATTTGTTCAGATTACATCTCCAATTTATCGACTTATAAACACTTTTCTAGCCAAAACTTATATCAGGTCCAGAGACCCTAGTCCAACAAATTGTATTTTTAGATCACATGAGCTTTAAAACGTATATCAGATATTATCATTTCTAAATCATTCATTTTTCCCATGTCCTATTGACCAAAAATACAAGGAAAGTAACTATAAAATTTTTAATGTGATGTTTTCAAGAAAAATGGATAAATTTATAAATATCGAGTAATATGACAATATTTAAATGTTTAATAAATTTGTACAATATTTTAATAAATTTTCGTATTATTGGCAATATTAGTATTGAACGGTTTTAAGTTTTACTTTACAGAATACAAGATACGTTTTTTCTGATACAGTCCATATGTATACTAATAATTTAACTTTTTGGTGGAATGTCCCGATTTATGAAAACAAGTATGAATTAAGTTCAAATCAGTCTCATTTTGGGTTTAATTGAAGCGCTTACATCCTTAAATTAATGAGCTTTTTATCCCAAAAATCACTTTGACTCAAAAGAGGCTGAAATTAGGTTTTTCCATACTTGGTTTAAGGAAACAAGTAGGTACTTCTGAATCTGCACCGGTTTTATTTGATCTACGAAAATATGCATTTTTCATCATTCTATCAAAGTTTAATAGTTTTGTTTGCCACTGTTAACAGCAGTGAATACTTATATAGAGAATAATATTTTATGTACATCAAACATATTTTTTTTAATTTTTTTTTTTTTTAAATTTTATAATATTTATAACGTACTTTTGTGCATGATTTTAATAAATATTTAAAACACTTTCGGATTTGAAACTGTAATTTGTTTATTTTAATATCTACAAGAATTTTGTTTATATAAAATTCACACATAAAGTATAAAAACAAATGTTTTTTTAATGTTCATTATTAGTCTATTTAAAATGTCATTTGTGTGTTTATAAAGTTGCAGTTTAATAACAAACTCATATTAAACTTTATTTTAATAATATTATTTTATTTTCAAACAAAAAAAAAAAGCCGCTAATTCCTTCTCGTTCTGTTAGAAGTAGAAATAAAAAACAATGTGTTTTTTATGTCACAAATGACCACGGAATATTAATTTAGTCACTGCTCATTAGAAATATTTTGTTTAACTCTTTTTTTTTCTTTATTCAAATTATGTACATATACAGTGTATTAAATTTTTTTTTGTAAATAAATCATTGAGTTAATTGGGTTTATTACACATTTTATTATTTAAACATTAAAAAATAAAACATGATAAGTAATATAAATATTTAGAATTGTTTGCATACTTACTGACTTCTATAATATTTAGTTTAGTTTGTTAGTTTTTTCATTAATGAAATTTTATAACAAATATTAATAAATTAATGCATAACTAGGTGTCCCGATAATTGCTGTAATAAAACGCTAATGAGTTAATAAACAATTTCAAAAGAAGCGCATTTTAATGGTTCTGAATGTAAGAAAATATTATTATAAACATGATAGTAGATTATCAGAACAAAGTCCCACACTATAGATTAGACTATAGATTAGATTACAGACTAGACTATAGACTAGACTACAGACTAGACTATAGACTAGATTATAGATTAGACTATAGATTAGACTATAGACTAGACTATAGACTAGACTATAGACTAGACTATAGACTAGAATATAGACTAGACTATAGACTAGACTGTAGACTAGACTATAGACTAGACTATAGACTAGACTATAGACTAGACTGTAGACTAGACTGTAGACTATAGACTAGACTATAGACTAGACTATAGACTAGACTATAGACTAGACTATAGACTAGACTATAGACTAGACTATAGACTAGACTATAGACTAGACTATAGACTAGACTATAGACTAGACTATAGACTAGACTATAGACTAGACTATAGACTAGACTATAGACTAGACTATAGACTAGACTATAGACTAGACTATAGACTAGACTATAGACTAGACTCTAGACTAGACTATAGACTAGACAATAGACTAGACTATAGACTAGACTCTAGACTAGACTATAGACTAGACTATAGACTAGACTATAGACTAGACTATAGACTAGACTATAGACTAGACTATAGACTAGACTATAGACTAGACTATAGACTAGATATAGACTAGACTATAGACTAGACTATAGACTAGACTATAGACTAGACTATAGACTAGACTATAGACTAGACTATAGACTAGACTATAGACTAGACTATAGACTAGACTATAGACTAGACTATAGACTAGACTATAGACTAGACTATAGACTAGACTATAGACTAGACTATAGACTAGACTATAGACTAGACTATAGACTAGACTATAGACTAGACTATAGACTAGACTATAGACTAGACTATAGACTAGACTATAGACTAGACTATAGACTAGACTATAGACTAGACTATAGACTAGACTATAGACTAGACTATAGACTAGACTATAGACTAGACTCTAGACTAGACTATAGACTAGACAATAGACTAGACTATAGACTAGACTATAGACTAGACTATAGACTAGACTATAGACTAGACTCTAGACTAGACTATAGACTAGACATAGACTAGACTATAGACTAGACTATAGACTAGACTATAGACTAGACTATAGACTAGACTATAGACTAGACCATAGACTAGACTATAGACTAGACTATAGACTAGACTAGAGACTAGACTATAGACTAGACTATAGACTAGACTATAGACTAGACTATAGACTAGACTATAGACTAGACTATAGACTAGACTATAGACTAGACTATAGACTAGACTAGAGACTAGACTATAGACTAGACTATAGACTAGACTATAGACTAGACTATAGACTAGACTATAGACTAGACTATAGACTAGACTATAGACTAGACTATAGACTAGACTATAGACTAGACTATAGACTAGACTATAGACTAGACTATAGACTAGACTATAGACTAGACTATAGACTAGACTATAGACTAGACTATAGACTAGACTATAGACTAGACTATAGACTAGACTATAGACTAGACTATAGACTAGACTATAGACTAGACTATAGACTAGACTATAGACTAGACTATAGACTAGACTATAGACTAGACTATAGACTAGACTATAGACTAGACTATAGACTAGACTATAGACTAGACTATAGACTAGACTATAGACTAGACTATAGACTAGACTATAGACTAGACTATAGACTAGACTATAGACTAGACTATAGACTAGACTATAGACTAGACTATAGACTAGGCTTTATTAAAAACAGAATGAATAAGTGTAGTATTTAAGATTTGGAACAATCGAATATGTAACACTTATTTGCTTAGATATATGGATTCAGTTGGTGGCCCGATTTACTAGTTGAAAATGTGCTATGTGCAGCAGACTAGTAGTTTGATCCCTACCCAAATAGAAAAAAGTATATATAATATTATTATAAAATTTAATTCAGAATTGTTAACCAAAATTTCTTACTGAAATATTAAAATCATTACTAAATTGAGCAGAACTTCAAATGCAGCGTCATTTTGATCTTTTTTTAATTTCCGGTCAATGCACTAAAGATATTTTATATTTTTAGTTATTTAGACATTGGAAGACATTGCCACTGCTGCGCAATGGGAAAGTTTATAAAATTACTGGAAATAAAATTACAGCATCTAAATTCAAAATTATGTTTCCAGAAAAGAAAATCTATTAGATATTAGAACGAAATGGATCAGATGTTAGTTATAAAATTAAGAGGATTTACATACGTATGTTAAGTAGTTAGTTGTAATTAGAAAAGATAATTTTTCTATTTGAAAAATGTTACAAATTTGCCATAACAAACATTTTTAATTTTCAGAGAATATGTTGGAAGGTTATCTCCTCTAGGCCATATAGTGGCTTGACAAATGATCGGATGTTCCTGGATCCTCTTAGAATATTCCAAATATTAAACATTAGCATACTTTTCAGAATCCTATTTTCTCATTTTATTCTCATCATATGATCGATATGTCCACTAAAAATGTTCAAATTTTTTAAAGTTCCTACGAAAATCTCCCATTGTGCCATCTTAATCTTCACCGAAATTAAATTTTTGGGTTTAAAAAAATAAAAGACGAGTCGTAAATGCTGTTAAAATGTTTCTGAATGCAAATTATGATTTATGTGTAAATGTGTGAATATTGTCAACGACAATTCTCTTTTACAGTATTTTAGGTAGTTTTGAGTTTTGTATTTCTTGTCTATGAATTTATTTAAAATGCAGACGCGACACAATGTCTCGTCAAAGGCGGTCTTAAACACACAAAAAAAAAAACATACACATTTACTTACTTGTATTAAATTTATAAAGTTTAAATTAATATCAGCGGTCTTTTGATGACAAAAATAAATTAAATTTGAAATTCAATAGCATTTCAACCGATTACTCATGATTTGCTGGCATAAGAATTTAATAAATTATCTTTTTTGTTCTGTTTCATTGATTATTTGCAGTTATGTTTGTTTACGTATCACACCTTAAATACAGGAGAAGCAGATCCCGTGGGTCCAGTGCCCATTGATTCTTTATTTATTTACCGTCCTGATAGACGTCATGAATTATGGCGTTTCATGTCCTATATGTTCCTGCATGCAGGTTGGTTTCATTTGGGCTTCAATTTGCTGATACAACTGGTCTTTGGTCTACCATTAGAGATGGTACACGGTTCCGGTCGTATTGCTTGTATATATTTTTCTGGTGTTTTGGCAGGTTCATTAGGTAAGTTTTGCCATCCATCGTTTTATACAGTTTCTCGATACAATTTGCAGTGCATTTATCATAGTTTGATTATGTGTTGCTCATACGTCTTCATTTCATTTCCTTTTCCTGTTCATGTGTGGGCATTTGTGTGTGTGCATGCCTGTAAGGCAAAAGGAAACATGAAAGGAAGGAAACAAAGCAAAAAATTGTTCAGTTGTAATCTAAGTTTTTGTTTGTTTGTTGTTGTTGTTTTGGATATTATTGCAGGCACCAGCATAATTGATCCGGATGTTTATTTGGTTGGCGCCAGTGGTGGTGTTTACGCTTTACTAGCTGCCCATTTGGCTAACGTTATGATAAACTATCATCAAATGCGTTATGGAATTTTACGTTTGGCAGTCATTTTATTTTTTGGTAAAGTTTTGCATTGGTTTTAATCCCGATATTTTTAAATTTAGTGTCTTAAATTTTGAGCACAGTGGTTTATGGGTAAATGTTGTAGTGTAGAATTGCAGCAGGATTTATAGGATATATAGGATAGATAGGATAGATATATATAGATAGATAGATAGATAGATAGATAGATAGATAGTAGATAGATAGATAGATAGATAGATAGATAGATAGATAGATAGATAGATAGATAGATAGACAGATAGATAGATAGATAGATAGATAGATAGATAGATAGATAGATAGATAGATAGATAGATAGATAGATAGATAGATAGATAGATAGATAGATAGATAGATAGATAGATAGATAGATAGATAGATAGATAGATAGATAGATAGATAGATAGATAGATAGATAGATAGATAGATAGATAGATAGATAGATAGATAGATAGATAGATAGATAGATAGATAGATAGATAGATAGATAGATAGATAGATAGATAGATAGATAGATAGATAGATAGATAGATAGATAGATAGATAGATAGATAGATAGATAGATAGATAGATAGATAGATAGATAGATAGATAGATAGATAGATAGATAGATAGATAGATAGATAGATAGATAGATAGATAGATAGATAGATAGATAGATAGATAGATAGATAGATAGATAGATAGATAGATAGATAGATAGATAGATAGATAGATAGATAGATAGATAGATAGATAGATAGATAGATAGATAGATAGATAGATAGATAGATAGATAGATAGATAGATAGATAGATAGATAGATAGATAGATAGATAGATAGATAGATAGATAGATAGATAGATAGATAGATAGATAGATAGATAGATAGATAGATAGATAGATAGATAGATAGATAGATAGATAGATAGATAGATAGATAGATAGATAGATAGATAGATAGATAGATAGATAGATAGATAGATAGATAGATAGATAGATAGATAGATAGATAGATAGATAGATAGATAGATAGATAGATAGATAGATAGATAGATAGATAGATAGATAGATAGATAGATAGATAGATAGATAGATAGATAGATAGATAGATAGATAGATAGATAGATAGATAGATAGATAGATAGATAGATAGATAGATAGATAGATAGATAGATAGATAGATAGATAGATAGATAGATAGATAGATAGATAGATAGATAGATAGATAGATAGATAGATAGGATAGATAGATAGATAGATAGATAGATAGATAGATAGATAGATAGATAGATAGATAGATAGATAGATAGATAGATAGATAGATAGATAGATAGATAGATAGATAGATAGATAGATAGATAGATAGATAGATAGATAGATAGATAGATAGATAGATAGATAGATAGATAGATAGATAGATAGATAGATAGATAGATAGATAGATAGATAGATAGATAGAAGATAGATAGATAGATAGATAGATAGATAGATAGATAGATAGATAGATAGATAGATAGATAGATAGATAGATAGATAGATAGATAGATAGATAGATAGATAGATAGATAGATAGATAGATAGATAGATAGATAGATAGATAGATAGATAGATAGATAGATAGATAGATAGATAGATAGATAGATAGATAGATAGATAGATAGATAGATAGATAGATAGATAGATAGATAGATAGATAGATAGATAGATAGATAGATAGATAGATAGATAGATAGATAGATAGATAGATAGATAGATAGATAGATAGATAGTAGATAGATAGATAGATAGATAGATAGATAGATAGATAGATAGATAGATAGATAGATAGATAGATAGATAGATAGATAGATAGATAGATAGATAGATAGATAGAAAAAAAATATAAATATTTTCCACAAATACTCCAATCAATATTCTGTTCCAATATTCTGATCCGATATTTTATATATCTTACCACTGTGCACAATTTTATAATTTGTTTATCTAAAACTTTAAATTATTTTGTCTAACAAAAACTAAACTATTCTTTTTATATCTTTATTTTCGTCTATTATTTTTTGTGATTCATTTCCTTTATCTACTGTTGTCTACTTCTATTGTAACAACTGCATTTTTAGCTTCCTGTGATGTGGGTTTTGCAGTTTATGCTCGTTTTGCTGATGACTATCCCTCCGTATCTTTTATTGCCCATTTAACTGGCGCTTTGGCTGGTCTAACAATCGGTCTATTAGTGTTGAAGAATTTCGAACAAAAATTACACGAACAATTGCTGTGGTGGATTGTTTTGGGTATCTATGCAGCTTGCATCATATTTGCCATCATCTTTAATATTCTCAATAGTGCGATAATGCAGAGTCTTAAAGCGAAACCGATTTATGCCACAGAAACGTATTACAATAATTTTCAAGTTTGATGTAGAAAAGCTTTAATTTATCTTTTAATTCTATATATATAAACAAACAAACAAACTACACTTAGATACATGAGTAAATATGTTTAAGTATTTATTTTCTTTTTGATTTAATTTAATGAATTTATTTATTTTTCTTATTTAAGTTAAGTTTACTCCATTACTGGTTTTCATTCCAAAATATTTTAAATGAATTAATTAAATGTATACATTTTCTAATGTACATATGTACATATGTATGTAGGTATTTTTTATTTTGTTTTCGTTATTTGTTTATTAAAAAAACATTAATAAATTTGTCAATTCAATTGAATTTTTTCATGTTTTTATTTTTTTTGGTTTTATTCTAGTAAAAAAATTCCTCATTTGAATTACTATTTTGTTTATGTTTATTTTTTCAAAATCAACTTTAAAACCACAAAAAAAAAACACTGATTTGTGTGCAATAACAGCAATTTTAATGCATTTATATACAACACAACTAAAATATACATAATAAATATTAAATAGTAGATAGTAAGTATATTTATACATTAGACCGGCTTAGAAAAGAGTTATTTAGGTCACTGAAGTTTGGTTAATTTTGGGATCAAATTAAACACATTTCTCGAAAAGAACCTCAATTATACAACATTAAACAAATTTGAGGTTTAGGACATTAAATATGATCAGTCACCCGTTTTAATAATGAAAATTTCTGTGGCTGTAAATTGGAGATGTTACCTACAGCCTGAGCCATAGTTATGGCTATTGATCTTAATTTCCTTAAATGAACCAAACTTGCAGTTCGTGATTGAATATGCAGTTTTTCAAATAAACATTGAGCCGGTCTAATTTACATACTTATACACACAGACATGTCCTCTAATTCACTTTAGTATGTGTTAGGATGCATGTATGTGTATTTAAATTTTATGTAAATATTTATTTATTTAGAAATAGTCGATTTATAGGAAAGCTGTAGTTTTATAGTAAAAAAGTGAAAAGGGAATTGTTTATTGTTATAGGACAATATTGAAATTGATTTATAATATTGAACAGACGATAAAAATAATAAATGTTTTTATAGTACAAAAAAAAAAAAAAATAATAAAATAAAAAAATCATCATCGAATAAATTATTTTTTATATAAAACAAATACCTACATATATTTTTTACTTCAATAGAATTTGAGTGAAGGTGAGTTAATAGAAATAATAAATTTGTATTTTAAATTTTATATATTTAATTACCCAGCAACTTACTTTTTAATGACAACTACTTACCGTCTGCATTACTTAGAGGTACTTTAGTAATGACTTTCTTTTGATTTGATATAGAAGTACTTTAATTTCGGCTTTGTTATTTTGTGAAACCCATTATTTGCCGCACAATAAAAAATCTAAGCAGCCTTCTATAGACTAAAAAACAGAAGTCCCTGTTTCGTATTCTCGCTGGCTCTTTTTATACCCTACGCCACTATAGTGGGAAGGGTATCAGCGTTTGTGTTGATGTTTGTAACGCATTAAAATATTAGTACTATACCCACCTTAAAGTATACCGATCGACTCAGAATCATTTTCTGAAATACTCGTTTGCTTTGACCAAAGGAAGAAGCCTATTGAAAATGGTTAAAATCAGTCCATTATTTCACCTAGCCCCCATACAACTGAACCCCCCGAAATAGGCTTTTGAGCTCATAATTATGTATAATATAAATGTATCTCGATGAAAGTTCGCACAACTAAGTTTTATACAAGCCTTGATGACCTTGCAGAATTTCGAAATGATCGGACTTCATTTTCACATCCCATTTTTCCACGTCCACCTCAGTTGGGCTATTTGACACGAAATTGACATATGGTCATTATGGTATATTAGGATTAAATCTAAATTAAACAGTATATATATCAAATATATTATGCGACAAAAATAAATACCTGGGATGTGATACTATTTTTCTGAAAGGTGTGTCCGAGTAGATCATGAATCTGTTTTGAGATTTGCCAAACACCTCCAAAATCTTGAGATACGGGTTAAAATATCACGATGAAATTCAGCATAAATAACTTTTATATAAACATAAATCCCTCCACCAAATTTTATGAGGATCGGCCCATATTTATCCCTATCCCCCATATAAAGCATATTTTAGAAAATCAGTTTCTGAGCAATTTTCTGTTAAGATAGAGATCAATTATGTCATTATAAAAGTCTCAGCTTCTGCTTCCCAAATTCGTTGAGAAACTTAAAATCGGTAGAGATTCTGTTACTGATTTATAAGTGATTAATAATACGAAAACCCGGTTTTTACCCATATCTCAAGATTTTGAAGGTGTTTAGCAAATTTCAAAAAAAAAAAAAAAAAAATTGTATAATTTCCCAAGTATTTCAATTTTCGTTTATTTTGTCTCACTGTGTTATTTTACAACTCTTTTAAATATCGAAGGTGGTATTATATTTAAATTTATTTATGCTCGACTTCAGCACAAATCATATAACAAAATTAGTCTACCGGTAAAATGTTAAAAAGAAAAGAGTACATAGAAACAAGTAAGAGTGCTATATTCGGCTATGCTGAATCTTAAATACCCTCCACCAGCAAGCTACTTTTTATTAAAACCCATTTAAATATCTAATTTTTAGATAACTTGGCAAAATTTTTGTTCAGTACTGAGAGTACTAACATTTATGCATATGTCGAACTAATTTTGATTAGGTCCAGAAATATAATCATTTAATAACGAATTAAGTAAGATAATACCGTAGAATGATTTATGTCGAATTTTATCCCTATAACTTTGATTGTCAATGTGCTTTTAAGTAATTTTCAGAAATGGTTCTTCTATATGGAAATTGCGACCAATTATGGACCGATAAGTAAAAAATGTCGTATAAATATGCAAAAAAATCAAGTAAAATTTTACTCCAAGAGATTTATTAATTAATGAAATATGTGCGTTTAAGTGATTTTCGGAAATGGACTTTATATAGGAGCTGGAACCAATTACAGGCTTATTCAGAAATTCAAAATTTCGTAGAATGATTCATAAGTATGTACACAAAACATATTTGTGTCGATTTTTATCAAGATATCTTTTTTTGATAAAGAAATATGTGCGTTTAAGTGATTCTTTGAAGTGGACCTTATAAAGTAGCTATTACCAAATATGGACCGATCCCGAAATAATTTGGTGGAATGATTTATATGTACACAAAATATATTCAAGTCGAATTTTATCCATATAGCTTTAGAATTCAATGAAATATATGAGTTTAAGTGGAGCCAATGTCATGCACGACTTAACGGATCTATCTGAGGCTGACATCCGAAAGATAGACTCCTTTATTCGTGCGACAAAATGGTTTGGATAGGAAACCAGTGTAGATGAGTCGAAGTGTAATAATACGCCGACCGTTTTCTTTCTCTTTTCAGGTATCACAAAGGGATCACAACATGGACCCAAGTGTGAATTTTATCACAATAGCTTTATTTATCAATGAAATATGTGAGTTTAGGTGATTTTCGAAAGTGGACCTTATATGGGAGCTATGACCAATTGTGGACCGACTGAGATCTACGTTGGTAGTATGATTTCTGTTTATATTATATTTGCATGTACAAAATTTTGTGTTGATACCGATATATTTGAAGGAGTTATTAATGATAAACTAATTTTCGGGAATATATACCTTTGTATGGGGGCTATGGGAAATTTTGGATTGATTATTTTGATTTTCAACATAATTCATGCCTGGGTAAAAAAATAATGTGTGACAAAATTCATTGAATTATCTCTTGTAGTTTCTGAGAAAACGACTTAAGAAATACGAAAAAACCCGTAATTTTTTCGAGGTAGTCAGAAATTTTTACTCATAATCGTTGTGAACCGATTTTGCTGATTTTTAATACCAAACTGCTTAGGATAACAATGAATATTTTTGGTGAATTTGGTTTATTTCTATTGGTTAGTTTTAACGTGAGCGTGTTTTAGGCAGACAGACTGACAGACGGACATAGCTAAATCGACTCAAATTTTGATAAGGACCCGGAGTATATATACTTTGTTTGGTCTTAAATGAATATTTCTTGGTGTTACACACGGAATGACAAACTTATATATTATATCACCACTGATGGTGGTGCAGGGTATAAAAAGTAAGAGTGTTATATTAGGCTATCCCGAATCTTATTCCAGCACGATTTACTAGATTTACTAGATTTATTCCTTTATGAGGTTTAGGATTATGGACCAATCATTCAAGAATTTAAAAGGAAATTAATGTTTAAATCAAATCCTTTTTATCGTGTTATACCATAATACTAAAATGATAGAGGTGTTAACTATGTAGAGAACAGGGTTAATAAATATTAACCGAGTTATGAGCTTTTGAATCAATTTCTTGGGGTTTTATTCCAATTGGGATGGACATGGACATCGCCGTAAAATTTAATAAGGACTCAGGACTACTACCAATATTTTGATTTGTTACAAACGGAGTGACAAAATCAATGTACCTACCCCCATCTATTTAGATGGTGGGTATAAAAAATCAATGATTGCGTGAGTGTCAAAAATATTTTACAAAAAGAAAAAATAATAATGGTAAGTAGAAATTTCAAATGAATAAAACAGGAACAAAGACGAAGAATGAAAGAGCTTAACACAAACAAAAGTCCTTTATGTCTAAACTGAAAAATTGATTTTAACGGTGGGAGAAAGGATTCAATGACATTGATTAATATAGCGTGTTTATGGGGGCTTTTAACAGTGATTCTAAATATTTTATGTTCGAAACATTCTTAAAACATTTTTTTATTCACTTTAGGTTAAATCCTTAAATAACGTTTGGGATCTTCTGCTTTATAAAGTTGTTATTCCGTGTATACTTTTCTGTCACGCGGAATAGTAAAATGTTACTTAACTTTTGTTTATACGGTGAACATAATCCCTCGCATGGAAACAAGTCAAATGGGAAAAAGTTAACAACGAACCAATTGACTTGCATGAAATGAGATTATTTTTAAATAAAAGTTGAAAATTGTTGTTATTTAACAATAAATTCGCTGAAAGTGTTGTGATTTTAAATTAGTTAAAACAAGAAAATCCAATATGTTCCATATGTAAACATATTTATAACAAAATTGAAGAATTCATAACAATTCATTCTATTACTTATGTATATGAATAACTTTGGTAAAATTTAGATTTTATTAAAGTGTCCCTTATAAATAGCAATATTTTTTGAATATTACTGTTCACGTT